AAGCTTAACAGAATTGTTTCTGCTTCTGTGTCTCTCTTCTCCTCCAGACAGCATCTCACTCCGCTGCCTGAGGCCACTTCAAAGGCCTCAGCGCCACTTGTGGGAAAGTACACATCTCCGAGGCCCTCATCGTGGAGCATTTGTTGGAGAGCTCTTGGTTGGCAATCCCAAGTGGGAAGCATTGTGTTGTCTGAGCCTTTATGAATATTTATGGCCTTGGTTTGCAAATTACAAATAAAATACCTGGGGAACATGTTAAAGAGCAAATTTGTCTAGCCCCACCCCAGGAGGTTCTGAGTCAGTAGACCTTGGCTAATGTCTAGGAATCTACATAATTAACAATTATCTTGAGTGATGCTGGACCAGCTCTGAGAATCACTGGTGTGTGATGGAGAGCGGATTAGCAAATGGCCTTGATTGCACGATTATTCTCAACTTTTGCATTCGTTTTGTACCATGTGCTTGCATGTCGCAAACATCCCGACCTTCCTTTTCATAAACCAAATTCAGATTTTCCTTCTCTCCCTAAGAACCGTGATGCAATCTATTCCAATGGCAATGCCCCAACCAGTAGTTGCGTGTGAATTTAGAGAATAGTATTTTTGCAGTTATTCGTGACATTGTCCTTACTTCTTAACAAAACAGAAGAAAAACAAAAAATGAAAAAACAGAAATCCCCCGAGGGATTTCGGCATGCTGAAATTGAGGAGTCTTTAGCTTCCATTCAACAACCTCTGGACATAAGCCAGGAAACTACTGGTACAATTGTGAAGAAGATGATCGAGTATAAAAGAATCTTAGGAGTGGAGTCATTCAAGAGTGAGTCTGAAAGTTGAGGCATAATTAGGAAATGTGTTTACGTATCTTTCTTGGTGAAAACAGTTTTGATACAGTGGACGTATTTCTTGCATACCTAAGGCATGCTCAATTTCTAAAACATCTTCAGAGGTACGTACAAAAGAAAGGGGTTGCCAATAGTAGAATAACAGCCTGTTTTCCATACCCTATATTTGGACAGAGTGACATTTATCCCCACTGTAGTTACAGTCTTCTCGTGGTGGCCAAATTTTAAGGGAGACAGTTGTCTCATCCATTCTTCAGACATGAGTGAGATGTTGGTAAGACTTCTGTGTGTCAACCACACCACTGGAAATGTTAATTTTCATGGTGCGGGTCTTTACCCTGAAAAGGATTTTGTGTTCGAACTCTTACCAATCAATGGCTCTTACAACTTGGCTTCTTAAAGTTCCTTAGTCCATTGGTTAATTAGATTGTGGTCGGATAGCAACAGAAAGAAAACTGGCAAATGTAGATAAATGCTATTAGATTAGGTTGTCATTTTAAGATTTTGCTTAAATATCTCTACATTTTTCCATTGAAAAAATTTTAAGTGTTTCATTTTGAGATAATTATAGATTGGCATCCAGTTGTAAGAAATATTACGCAAAGATCCTGTACCTTTTCCCCAGTTTTACTGATTGGTAACATCTTCAAAGCTATCATGCAACATCATAGCCAAGATATTGACATTAACACAGTCAGGATACAGGACAATTCCATTGCTGCAGGGATCCCTTATGTTCCCCTTTTGTCGACAAAGCTACTTCCCGTCCCCAGCCCCTGACAATCATGGATCTGTTTTCCATTTCTGTCATTTTGTCATTAAAAAATGCTATAAATGCGGTCCTACAGTATGTAACCTTTTGGATTTCAGTCCCCTCCACCCACCCCCTGACCTGCTCAGCATCATTATCTGAAGACTCATTCAAATTGTTGCAATATTGCTAGTTAAATTGTTTTTAGAGCTAAGAAGTGCTCCATGATATGGATGTACCACATTAGCACGTTGAAGAATATATGGGTGCTTCCAGTTTTGTGCTGATACAGATCAAGCTACTATGAACATTTATGTTCACATTGTGTGTGGGGGGGG